TTCCTTATACTTTTAAACCTAAATTTGTATTCAAAATACTATTCCTGTAACTTTAATTCTTTTAGTTATTAACTCAAATAATTTTTTGAACATCTAGTTTGATTAGATCATTGGGAATAGAGAAGGCAAGCCATGCATACATATATATGTGTGTGTATATACATATATAATTCTCTTCACCCAAGAATTGGTTTCTCTGTAACAGCCTGGCTGTCCTGGAACTTGATTTGTAGACCAGACTGGCCTCGAACTCAGAGATCAGCCTGCCTCTGCCTCCTAAGTGCTGGGATTAAAGGCATGTGCCACTATGTCCATGTCAAATTTTATAAATAGAACCAAGAAAAATAAATCTGGGACAAATAATTTGATGCAGTGGTTGTTATAAAAGGCTGGAGGTGGCCAGATATGGTGGTACACACCTTTAATCCCAGCACTCAGGAAGCAGAGGCAGGAGAATCTCTCTGAGTTCAAGGGCAGCCTGGTCTACATAACAAGTTCCAGGTCAGCCAGGACTACAGTAAAACCCTATCTAAAGAAATAAAATAAAATAAAAAATTTAAAAACATTGGAGGTATAGCTTAGTGATAAAGTGCTTATCTATTATGTGCAAGGCTCTAGGTTGTCCACAAACTCTTTTTTTGCTGGGGGGGGGGTGCAGGGTTGAGACAGGGTTTCTCTGTGGCTTTTGAGGCTGTCCTGGAACTAGCTCTTGTAGACCAGGCTGGCCTGAAACTCACAGAGATCTACCTTAAAAGGGATAAAAGCTGGAGAGATGGCTCACTAGTTAAGAGCACTGGCTACTCATCCAGAGGACCCAGGTTCAATTCCCAGCATCTACATGCCAGATCCCAGCTACCTGTGACTCCCCATTCTAGGAGATCCAACACCTTCACACAGACATACATGCAGGCAAAACACGTGCATATGAAATCAAATAAATACAAATTTTAAAAAAGCACAGGACTGGATGGCAAGTTTATTAGGTAAGAGAATTATAGTGTTTCTACTACCTTAAATATAATTACCTATTTGATGTCCTCCAAAGTTATTACATAAAGTATGAAAGTGAAGCTGAGTATGACTTCACATAATTACAATCCCAGTTGGGAAGTAGAAGGAGAAGAATTAGGAACTGAAGGTCATCCTCAGCTACACAGTGAGTCTGAGACCCTGTCTTAGAAAAGAAAATGAACATGGAGTCTTTGGGGGAAGAAATCCAAATATTTAGTGAAAATGTTTAGTAGTCTCTCATGTGTTATAGATCCTTGATTAGGACTCATTAAAAACTAACACAGTATGACATTTTATTATAAATGAATATAGTAAATATTTCTTTCTCTCCCCTCCCCAGTACCTCAGTAGGTTTGTTAATTGCATATAATCTATGTTAAAAGTATGAATTTTACCTGGATGTAGTGTGCACTCCTTTAATCCCAGCACCCTGAATGCAGAGACAAGAAGACTGGGAGTTGGAAGCCAACTTGCTCCATATAGTGAGACTTTGTCTCAACAAGCAAGTAAAGTGTTGGCTTTAATGTACGCCTCTAATCTGCAACTTACTAAGTCAAACAGTTTTTTCAAAACTTTTTTTTTTCTCTTCAAGACAGGATTTCTCTGTGTAGCTTTGGAGCCTGTCCCGGAACTCACTCTGTAGACCAGGCTGGCCTCAAACTCACAGAGATCCGCCTGCCTCTGTCTTCCCAGTGCTTGGGATGAAAGGCGTGCACCACCACTGCCTGGCTTCAAAACATTTTTAAAGAGTTACTCATTTTTATGTTCTGTGTAAGAGTTTTTACCTGCATGAATATATGTGCATCACATATGTGCAATGCCTGCGATGGCCAGAGAGGGCTTTTGATTCCTATGGGAACTGAAGTTATAGGCCACTATGAGTTGTCCTGTAGGTGATAGGAACTGAATCCTGGGTCATCTACACGAGCCACAAATGCTGTTACTGCTTAGTCATCTTTCCAGCCTTTCTGTTATATAATTTGGAGAAGAGTTATTTAAACTCCCTAATTCTGTTTACTTACTACAATAATAAGAAAATTTATATCTACTAGCCAGGATTATAGTGAATGTTAAATGAGTGTAAAGCAATTAAAACTGTGACTGATTTATTATAGTTGTTCCATAAATGTTGTTGGGTGTTTTGTTTTGTTTCTTTTTCCGAGTCAGGGTTTCTTTGTGTAGCTTTGGAGTCTATCCTGGAACTAGCTTTGTAGGCCACGCTGGCCTTGAACTCACAGAGAGTTTCTTGTCTCTGCCTCCCAAGAGCTGGTAGATTATAGACATGCACCTCCGTACTGGGCCTAGTTGTTCCATGAATGTTAAATATCATTGTCATTTAAATGTTTTTCATATGTCCTGTTTACTTAGTTTCTACTGTGCAAAAATTAAACTATCATTGGAGGCAAGTAAAATATTAAGCCAAATGTTTGTTCTGATTTATTGACTAGTTTATCTTCCTATTTCCTTAGGACTAGTGAACATAGCTGTGAATAATGTTCAGGAGTTGATTGTTGCAGCAGACATGCTACAGTTGACTGAAGTTGTTAATCTTTGCTGTGAATTTCTGAAAGGACAAATTGATCCACAGAACTGCATTGGACTCTTTCAGTTCTCTGAGCAAATTGCCTGCCATGATCTTTTGGAATTTACAGAAAACTATATTCATGTCCATTTCTTGGAGGTTCATAGTGGAGAAGAGTTCCTGGCACTTACAAAAGATCAGCTGATCAAAATTTTACGAAGTGAGGAGCTTAGCATTGAAGATGAGTACCAAGTCTTCTTAGCTGCAATGCAGTGGATTCTGAAAGACCTGGGAAAGAGAAGAAAGCATGTGGTAGAAGTGTTAGATCCAATTCGATTTCCTCTATTACCATCTCAGAGGCTTTTAAAGTACATAGAAGGTAACTTTTGTACTATGTATATCGGTTAGTTGATCTCTGAAATTTTTTAATTGTGTGTGTGTGTGTCTGTAGAAGTGCATGCACTTAAAGGCCAGAGGTTGACCTCAGGTGTCTTCCTCAGTTGTTCTTTTTTTTTTTTTTTTTTTTTTTTTTTTTTTTTTTTTTTGGTTTTTCTCTGTGGCATTGGAGCCTATCTTGGAACTAGCTCTTGTAGACCAGGCTGGCCTTGAACTCACAGAGATCGCCTGCCTCTGCCTCCCGAGTGCTGGGATTAAAGGCATGCATCACCAAAGCCTGGCTTGACCCTGAATAGTTTTAAGTATCATTTGAGAGTCATCTTTTTTCAAACTGGTGTGTGTGTGTGTGTGTGTTGCCTATGTCTGTGCCTTTGGAAGCCAGAAAAACATACCTGATCTCCTGGAACAGGGGTTACAGACAGTTGTGAACTGCCATGTGGGTGCTGGAAATCAAATCTAGTTCCTTTGGAAGAACAGCCAGTGCTCCTAACCCCTGTTCCATCCCTCCACTCCACCCTCCTTTTGAGATAAGGTCGTAAGTAGCCCAGGCTGGCCTTAATCTCATTATGTAATCAAGGATGACCTGGAATTTCTGATCCTCCTGTCTCTATCTCCCAAGTGCTAGGATTATAGGTGGGCACTGCCATCAACAGTTTAGAAACAAAGTATTTTGATGACATGAGGAGCATTTCCTAAAAATCCTTTGGGTATGGTTGGGTAGGTTGCTTCTGCTCAACATACTTAGATGAGGTGGTGTACTTGAGATGAAAGTCAACCAGTGTTCTATTAGTCAACCTGTATATTTTGTCTTCTCTGAAAGAGCAGTGTTTTCCGATTTTCATAAAGAACTAGTAAGGGACATAGAGATCTGCCCCCTCTGCCTCCCAAGTGCTGGGATTAAAGGAGTCCACCACCACACCCAGCTAATCAATGGATAATTTGGAGGAAGAATGAATAATCAAAGAGCAAAGCAGAGGAAGATGAGAAATAAAATAATCAACACAGATCTTGGTTGGGGTAGAGCTCAGTGGAGGCTTTGCTCAGCACAGATGTGGTACTAGGTTTGATCCGAAGTAAGGATATGAGCCCTAGTAAGGCTTTATTCCACAACCCTCATGTTTCAAACTAGAAAGACAGTGAGAATAAGACATGTCTTACTCAAATTTTAAACTGCAGAATACAAAGTAATTGTACTAAGATAAAAAGAGTGAGAGGGAGAATTAGCTCTTTGTCAGAGCATGGTTTGAATAAGGAGGCCATGTAAACAAGATACAAAAATAATAGCATCTATTGAAGTAGATCCCAGGGAAAAGAAGAGAAAGAAATTGAAGAATTCAGCCTGGGTGGGTGGGGAGTTGGGGTGGGGTTGGAGGGGTGCAGATTAGGCATAAGCAGAAACACTTTCATCTTGAAATTCAGACAATAGTTACTTGAAAACATAAATTTTATGAAACAGGAGTATAGGAGATGCAGTGCTAAGGAAACAAAGTGAGAATTGGAACACCAATTTTGTAGACAGGCATACATACATGGTGCACAGACATGCATGCAGACAAAACATCCATACTCATAAGTAAAATTAATTATAAAAATTTAAAAGATTTTCGTTTCTTTGTGTTATCATTTTTGAAGGTTTATAATATAAATGTATTTTATTTTTGTTATTAGAGTTTATGAAAAAAGCTTGTGACTTTTTTTGTTTTTTTTTTTTTTCGAGACAGGGTTTCTCTGTGTAGCTTTGGAGTCTCTACTGGAACTCACGCTGTAGACCAGGTTGACCTCAAACTCACAGAGATTCGCCTGCCTTTGCCTCCCAAGTGCTGGGATTGAAGGATTTATTTTATCTTAAATAATGTCTATGTGTGCAGGTATGTGCATGTGAGTTTGGATGCCTTCAGGGTCTGAGTGCCCATGGATGTGGATCTCTTTGAGCTGAAATTATAAAGTGGCAACCAAACTACAAGAGCAGTACACTCCCTTAGCCCTCTCTCCAACATCAGTGAGGAGGGTATTTTCCCTGTTCTTTTTAGTTGATGTTTTTTGTTCTTTGTTTTTTTGTTTGTTTGTTTGTTTGTTTGAGATTGGGTCTCACTGTTTAGAACAGGCTGGCCTGGAACTTGAAGAGATCCACTCAGTGCTGGGATTAACAGTTTGTCCTGACTTTGACTGACCAGGAAATGTGTCTTTTCAGTAATATCTAAAAGTCTTTTAAAACATTGTTTTTTTAAATACTGTGTAGGAGTATCTGATTTTAATCTTCGAGTTGCATTGCAAACACTTTTGAAAGAATATTGTGAGGTCAGCAAGTCTCCCAAAGAGAACAAGTTTTGTAGTTTTCTGCAGACATCCAAAGTTCGACCTCGGAAGAAAGCAAGAAAATACCTGTATGCAGTAGGTAAGAAACTCTGAAATTATTTTCAGGATAAGAACTTTTTAACAGTTTGCTGTTATTACTATGTAGGTCTTACTAATATGCAAATCTATCAAAGCATATTTAATTTCATATTTAGGCTTAAAACCAGTAAATTGAATTTGCATAATTTAAAACTTAATAGCTTCTCATTCAACATTTCATTCAATGTTCTAAATCTTTGGTCTCTACCTAATTACCATCAAATGACTGATTTATTTACTTATTTATTGTGTGTATGCACATACGTGGATCATAGTATGTGAGTGGATATGAAAGGATAATTCATGGGAATTAATTTTCTCCTCCCACTTTGTAGGGATTAAACTCAGGTCATCAGGCTGGACACCAGTTGCCTTTACCTGCTGAGCTATTTCACCAAAACAAGAAACATTTTTGTAAAAGTTAAAATTTGCCAGGCATAATGTTTCATGCCTACAAGTCTGGAATTCCTAGGCTGAGGCAGGAATGCTGTGAATTCAAAGCCAGCTTGGGTTACATAATGGTTTCTGGGTCAACCTAGGCTACAGTATGACACTATCTTTAAAAAAAGAACAAACCTAAATAAATAAATTGATTAAAGATCTAAAATTCAAGTGAAAAGAAAGGGAAATAGATCTAAAAAATTTGAACTGTTCATAGTGTTTTAGGTAGCATGATCCTTAAAAATATCAGAGGACTCTCTTTCTGCCATCTTGGCTTCTCTGGAAGCATGCTGGGAAAAGAAGTTCCAAAAGCAATATGTCGGGAAGACTGTGGTGCAAGGCCATTTTTGCTGGGTATCAGCAAGGTCTCCAGTACTAAAGAGAGTACACAACTCTTCTTAAAACTGAAAGTGTTTGTCCCTGGCAACAGAAAAGAGCCCAAAGGAATTCTTGGGAGAATCTGATCCAGTCAGGCATGTGTCTGGGCCAGAGTTCTAGGGCTACAAACCCAGAGTCCTTCTAGGGTTCACAGGATGTGCATTGGGTTATATGGTCATCTGTGAGCCAGTTGGTGGCTAAGATGAAATAACCCCCCCCCACCCCGAGTTCTGGAACTAAAGGCATGCGCCATTCCACTTGGCTTATATTTTATTTTATTTTATTTTATTTTATTTTATTTTTTGAGACAGGGTTTCTCTGTGGCTTTGGAGGCTGTCCTGGAACTTGCTCTTATAGACCAGGCTGGTTTCAAACTCACAGTGATCTGTCTGCCTCTGCCTCCCAAGTGCTGAGATTAAAGGCGTGCGCCACCATCTCCCGACTCTTATTTTTTATTTTTAATTATGTGTCTATATGTGTGTATCTCTGTGTGGAAATGTGCATATGTGAGTATAGGTGCCTGCAAACTCCAAAAGAGAGTATCAGATCCCTGGAATTACAGGTGTTTCCTAGTCCTTTGCAATAACATGCACACAACCACTGAGCAATCTCACCATCTCCTCAATGCACTGATTTTTAAAAACAGTTATTCATTTATTTTTATTTTATGTGCATTGGTGTTTTGCCTGCATGTGTGTCTGTGTGAGGGTTCAGGTCCCTGCAACTGGAGTTACAAACAGCTATGAGCTGCCATATGGATGCTGGGAATTGAACCGAGGTCCACTGGAAGAACAGCTAATGCGCTTAACCACCGAGCCATCTCTCTAGCCCCATTAGTGCACTATTTTTAATTGAGACATAAAAAGTGATAATGAAACTCTATAAAGAATATTGCTTAGTTTTATATTTTATATAGTCTTCTATTATAACTGAGAGATGTGGTAAAATATTGAGGCTAACCTCATTGCATGTAATCCATAATTTTCCAGGGCTTGGCATAATCGAGAGTTACATATTTTATATACTATTTTTATAGAGGTGACAGGAACTGAGATATCTGAATGTTTGATATAGGGCCCCAATATTTTCTTTATTACTGCCATTTTTATATTTATCAATAAGTGGTTTGCCATATATTTTTCCCTTCTCTGTTTAGGTGGATATACACGCTTGCAGGGGGGCCGTTGGAGTGATAGCAGAGCCCTCAGCTGTGTAGAACGTTTTGATACCTTTAGCCAGTACTGGACCACTGTATCTTCGCTTCATCAGGCTCGATGTGGTCTTGGAGTAGCAGTTTTGGGAGGGATGGTCTATGCCATTGGAGGTAACAATAAAAATATTTCATTTCTCTCCTTAATTTACTTGGCTACATTGTATATTTCACGTACTTTGGTCTTCATCCTCTTTCGTTTCCTCCCCTCTCTGTGAGGTGTTTTCAAGGAAAAATTATTTACTCATAAAATATAGTAACTATCACTTTGAACTGGCTTGTATGCCAATATATACTTCATATTTAACATTCTACACCAAAATCTGTGTTTTCCTGCCATGACTTTCCATATACTGGACAGTGATGATGATTTGCCTGGTGGGTAAGAACAAAGCTTTTAACATGCTTTTTTGTTCCTTCAGTACTGAGTAATTGATCCTAGGGCCTCATGTATGTAAGGCAACCACTACCACTGAGCTAAAGCACCCCCCCTCAAAGCTTCAGTCATTCCATGTTGTCTTTCTTTCATGAATATAGCCAGTTCATCTGTATTTATGTAGATATATCTTCTTCAACATTATAATACCCAAATCTTATGTTTCTGTTATTATATCTAAAGTTTACTCTTACATTATGAATCTAATCATGTTATTGTCCTATTCTCTTTTTTGTTGTTGTTTGTTTGTGAGACAGGGTTTCTCTGTGTATCCCCAGCTGTCTTCGGACTCACTCTGTAGACCAGGCTGGTCTCAGAGATCCACCAGCATCCACCTTCCAAGTGCTGGGATTAAAGGCATGCGTTGCCACCCGCCACCACCACCACCAGGCTTCTTTTTCTTTTTCTTTTTTTATGACTTTATTTTTTATTTATCATGTATACAATGTTCTGCCTGCATGTCTGCCTTCAGGTGGGTAGAGGGCATCAGATCTCAATATAGATGTTTGTGAGGCACCATGTGGTTGCTGGGAATTGAACTCAGGGCCTCAGGGAGATCGGTCAGTGTTCTTAACCCCTGAGCCATCTCTCCAGCCCCCCCTTATTTTTTTAATAAGTTCATTTATTTTGAGAAACTCTTATTCAAAACTCATGTCTTATATACCTTTTTTTAAAATAAAGTTTTGTTATTACATTTATGTATGTAATAAACCTGGAATTGAGATTTTATGGATAATAGGCAATAAGAAATGGCTTTCTTTTTTTTCCTCCCACATATATAACCAGTTATCACAGCTAGCATAAAAGGCTTATTCGCCATTGTTCTGTAGTAACTTTGACATATCCTGGAATGTCATGTTTTTTAGTTTTTTTATCTGTCACTATCTTAATTACTTTGACTCTATTAAATAATCTTAGTTTAGGGCCAGCAAGATGACTCAGGAGATAAGGGTGGTTACCACATGACCTAAGAACCTGAGTTCCCAGTGTGCTGGCTAGTGCAACTTGACACAAGATAAGATCATTGGGAAAGAAAGTATCTTAATTGAGAAAATACCTCCACTGTATTGGCTTGCAGGGAAGCTTGTGGGGCATTTTCCTAATTGGTGGTTGATGTGGGAGGGCCAATCACACTGTGGGTGGTGCCACCCCTGGCAGGTGATCCTGGGTGCTTAAGGAAAGCAGGCTGAGCATGCCATGAGTATTAAGCCAATAAGCAGCATTCCCCTATGGCTTATGCATCAGCTCCTGCCCTGACTTCCTCAATGATGGACTAGAAACTGTGAGATTAACTAAATAAACCCTTTCCTCTCCAAGTTGCTTATGGTCATGGTGTTTTATCCTAGCAATAAAAACCCTAACTGAAGCCAGGCATTGATGGTGCACAGCTATAGTCCCAGCACTCGGGAAGCAGAGGCAGGCGGATCTCTGTGAGGTTGAGACCAGCCTGGTCTACAAGAGCAAGTTCTAGGACAGCCTCCAAAGACACAGAGAAACCTTCTATCTCGAAGAACCAAAAAAAAACAAAAAACAAAAAACAAAAAAAACCCTAACTGGGCAGGCAGTGGTGGCACACGCCTTTAGTCCTAGCACTGGGGTAAAGTGGAAAATTACCAACATGGAGCCAAGTAGAGATATAAGGGTATTGAATAGGGAAAAGCGACCCAGGCACCCGGCACAGCAGCAGTCTGTACAGCAAGCCAAAAAGGAAATCCGGAAGTGAAACCCAGCCACCTGAAACTCTCACCATACATCACCCTGACCACGCCCTTGAAGGCATGGTCAGACACACCTGTAGCCAGCCCCTAACTAGGCATGGCTATAGCTTCCCCTACAATTCCCCTTTTAGTTTAAAAGAGGATTAAGACTTAACAATGTAAAGTTTCCAAAATTAACAATCATAAAGGTGAAATATAAGAAGACATAACAATCTGCTTATGTCACATCCTAACTATCTATTTTAACTAAACCCTAAAGTCATAAACAATAGGAAGCTATTCCTAACTAGGTATATACACTATCCTAACTGACAACAATGAGGAAAGAGGGCATAGCATCCTCCAAGTTACTTCCTGCTGAAATGGGACGACGATAGCCTTGTGGGGGTCCTGTAGGAAGAAAATGTTAGTACAATGAAAGTCTTGAATGGATTGTATCGAGTCCATGTTAGATGGGATTCGCTTGATTGAAGATCTCCCTTGAAATCTTCAACTTGATTGAAGTCAGTACCCGAAGTTCTAGCGGGAGTGTCAGTTGAAATGGAGCAAGTTGGATCCAGTGCAGTCAAGGAGGTGTGGCCCATTTTCTTTCCAGGGTGTCCAGGGATTGCTGTCAGGCAGGTCTTCATTGGCTGTGTGGGACTCAAACATAAACAGTTAGCAGAGAAATGTTTGCATGTGTATGTACACATGCTGGGGAATGCAACCATGGGAGCATAACAATTATGAGAGGGTGTACACCTTGAAAGAAAGATCCAAGAAAAGACAAAGACAGTCCCCAAATTCTTCTTTTATTCTGTATTACATCAATTGGCTTCTTGATACAATACAGAAACTCTAAAGTTTAGTTAAATAACGTGCTTGGATTTTAGAGGAGGAAAG